GCGGCGGGAGGACGGCGGAGCTCGGCGGCCAACAGGGGCAGCGCGACGCGCGCACCGCCCGCGGGTCTCCTCCCATCGGGATTCCACCCGCAACGTTTCTTTCTCCAGAAGCTCCTGGAAGAAGCAACCCACGCTCTGGACTCCCTCGGCCGACGGGTGATAAAAGTTTACGGTGTCTGATATTTTGGTTTGAAATTTTCCATGAATTTGAGGAAAATTTATATGGTTAAATCAGTTGATTCCTGGAGTCCCAGTTTCCTGTGTAAATGTAGGGATAATATGTACTTAAGTCCCATAGAATATTCTTTTTTTTTAAAAAAAAATTTTTTTGTAGTTCATTTTAATGAGAAAAAAGATAAAATAACAATGAAAATTTCAAAACAGGTTAGTAGGATGGTTACAATAATTAATACATTGCGTATTGTTGTCTTCATGGTAGTTATTCAGAAGACAAGATGCAGACATCCTATCTTGTCTAAACAATATTAGTATAAACATTTATTCTCAGTGAACAACAGAAAGTAGCTGTATATCCATCCTAACTCTCTTGTGTATACATACATACATATATATATATATTCTCTTTTTTTCACAACAAAAATGTCCTCTATTTACACTTTTGTGAAATTAGTAACACATGATACTAGGTTGCCTAGCAGCTGATACCTAATCTTAACCAGACAGGATGTTCATCTCAGGAGTGAGGTAGCTTGTTTGCTTTAGGCTCTGGGCCAAATCCCACCTACACATATTCTATTGATTTCCTAGGTTCCTGGCTCCCAACATATCCCCAGTTTTCGTTTTGTTTTGTCAGAGGTAGGCATTCCACTGCAGTTAGAAAAGCTGTTTTTTTTTTTTTGCAGTACTGGGGAATCAAACTCAGGACCCTGCGCTTGCCAGGCAAGTGTTTATTCTACTGAGCTATCTCCCTGGCCCAAGAAGCTGTATTTGGAGAAATCTTTAAAGGATTATTTTATACTTGAAGCCTGTCTAACGATTTTAAGTGCTTGAATTTAGCAAAATACCCCAATGTAGTCCAATAATCCATAATAGTAGTGGGTTATCAGCACAACTGGCAATTGTCAGAAGTTGTTGACTTGAGAATTTTAGAGCTCAGTATATTAATATAGCATTACTTTTTATACCTTGTGGTTATACGTTTCTGTTAGATGGTTAAGACCAAGTTAAAGCAAGACCTATATAACTAAAAATCTAATTTTTGCTATCTGACAAGGTCAGTCAAATCCCCTCAGGATTTATCCTGAAACCATGCAGAGCACCTTGTCAGTGTCAACAATGTGGATGAGTCACGGCCATTGCTTGACCAATTTGCTCTCTGTGAAAGCCTGAGAGAATTTTTTTCTCTCAAGGTGATGCTCCTTAGGCACACTATATATTGTCAATCACTGTCCTCTGTGGACCCATAATCTCTTTGATCAGAAAATTTGGGACAACACTGAGTTATAGGATGTCACAGCACAGGTTCTCTTATGTCTTGAGTCCTCACTGACCTTGAAGGTCTAGCTTCAAAATATAGGCTTTCCTGGTAGCCCCTCTATTTCTCTAATTTTTGGTCTGCAAACTTTAGTTGTTAAACATCCAGAAGAGAAACTTAATGATATTATTACCCTGCAACAGAGGCAGTTGAGCTTAACATCACTATCTGTCTGAATATCAAATGCCTTAGACATAAAATCGAACTGCTGTTTTCCAGCAATGATGGAATATTCTAAAATTTAAATCCCATAGAATGTTAAAAAACAATTACATATTTTTACCCAGAAATTTAGAAATCAAACCATATGCAATATTGTAGCAGGACAATCCTGTGACATTTTTAATTGTCTCTTTTTTATTACCTTTTTATAAACATTTACTCTAAAGAGAGTTTAGCAATAATTGAGATGACATTAGAAGCAGTATGCATTTAGAAGACCAAAATGACGGGTATTTCAAGTATGGTTTTAGCATTACACATTGCTGTCCTCAGGGTAATTACTTAGTTCACAGATATCAGCATACAGAGTTAGTCAGGGTGAGAATTCTACCCATTAACTGCTATTTTCAAGAGCCTGATGGAGATTCTCAGGACAATTGCCTTAACCATCTTGTTTATATGAATGTACAGTTTCTGCCTCTGCCATATTTCCTAACTTTTCTCCTTGCTCTGTCTTCATTGTTTAATCCTTAAATTCTCACTTCCCATTTAACTGTATTATACCTTTCAATTTTTATTTCTTCTTTTGAGCTCTTACACTAGGGAGACTATGATATTTACACATGTGGGTCTGGTTTCTTTCACTTATAAATATACCTTCAAGTTGCATCCACTTATATATGAAGGCTTAAGGTTTATTTTTCTTTATAACTGAGTAATATTCCATTGTACAAAAACACATCTTTTTCATCAATTCCTCAGGTGATGGGCATTTTGGTTGTTTTGAAGATTTAGCTATCACAAATTGTGCTGCTATAAACATGGGTGCACATATATCACTATGATATGATGCTTTCAGTTCTTTTGGGAAAATTACTAGAAGGAGGATAGCTGGATTGAATGGAATTTCCAGTCTGAGTTTTTTGAGGAGTCTCTACACTGATTTCCATAATGGTTGCACTAGTCTTCATTCCCACCAGCTGTGGAGAAGGGTTCCTTTTCCCTCTGCAGTCTCTCCATTTGTTCTTCATTGATTTCTTTATGATAACCATTCTTTCTGGGGTAAGATGGTATCTCAGTGTTGTTTTAATTTGCATTTCGTAAGTGACTAGTGATGTGGAGCATTTTTTCATGTAATTATTAGCTCTCTTCCTCTGAGAAGTGTGTATTTATCTCAGATGCCCATTTTTTGATTGTGTCTTTAAATTTTGGGACCCTAATTTTTTTTTAGTTCTTTATAAATTCTACAAAGAAGACCTTTGTATGAGAGCTTCTTAGTTGACTTTTTTCAAATTTGTGGGTTGTCTTTTCAATCTGTTGGTAATTTCTTTTGATGTGCAGAAACTTCTCAATACGAAGAGGTGCCAGTTGTTAATTCTCTCAAGTATTTCCTCTGAACTTTGATTTTTGTTCATGAATTCTTTGCCAACCCTGATAGCGTCAAGATTTCCACCTAGTTCTCTTCCAGGAGATTTAGTGTCTCTGTTTTAATGTTTAGATCTTTAATCCATTTTGACTTCCATTTAGTGCATGGTGATAGACCTGAGTCAAGTTTTAGTTATCAGCATGTAGAGAGTCAGTTTTTCCAGCACCATTTGTTAAAGAGGCTATCTTTCTTCAAGTAAGCATGTTTGGCCCCTTTGTCAAAGATAAGGTTGCTGAGTGTGTTTGTAGTGGTTTCTGCATCTTCTAATCTATTCCATTGAAATTCAGGTCTATTTTTTGCCAATACCAAACTGATTTTATCACAGTAGCTTTTTAGTTTAATTTCAAGCCAGGGATTGTAATGCCTTCTGCCTTGCTTTTGTTGTCCAGGATTGACTTTGCTGTTCTAGGTCTTTTCTGGTTCCAAATAAAAATTTAGGAATGATTTCTCTAGCTCTGTGAGGTATGTTGGTGGTAGTTTGATAAGGATTGCATTAAATCTGCATACCAATTTTGGGAGTATGGCCATCTTGACCATGTTGTTTTTTCCTATCCAGCAGCAGGCAATATCTTTCCATTTTCTGAAATCCTCTATGATCTCTATTTTCAGAGTACTGTAATTTTCAATGAAAAGATCTTTGACTTCTTTAGTTAGATTAATTTCAAGGTATTTCATTTTCTGTGGTGCTATTATAAAAGGTATTGTTTCTATAATTTTCCTCTCAGTGTGTTTGTTATCTGTGTAGAGGAATGCTATTGACTTTTGGGTATTGAATTTGTAACCTACTATGCTACTGAATTTCTGTATCAATTCTAGTAGTTTCTTGGTGGAAATTTTGGGTCTTCCAAATAGAGTATTATGTCATGTGCAAATAGTGATAGTTTAACTTCTTTACCTCTTGTTATTCCTTTTATTTATCTCTCTTGTCTAATGGCTCTAGATAATGATTCCAGAACTATATTGAATAGGAGATGTGATAGAGGGCATCTTTGTCATGTGCCAGATCTGAGATTAAAAGATTTCAGTTTTTCCCCATTTAGAATTATGTTAACCATTAGGTTGTCATAGATGGCTTCTATCAGATTGAAGTAGAGGCCATCTATTCCAATGTTCTGTAGGAGTTTGAACATGAATGAGTGCTGTACTTTGTCAAAAGCCTTTTCTGCATCAATTGAGGTGATCATGTGGTTTTTGAATTTGGCTGTATTGATATAGTGTATTACTTTTATAGATTTGCTTATATTAAACCATCCTTGCATCCCTAGGATGAATCTTACCTGGTTATGGTGTACAATCTTTTTGATGATTTGCTATGTTCTATTTGCTAGGATTTTAGCATCTATGTTCACTAGGAAGTTTGGCCTATAGTTCTCTTTTTTAGTTGCATCTTTCTCCAATTTTGGTATCAGTATTATAGTTGTCTCCAGAAATGACTTTGGGGAGGATTGCTTCCTTTTCAATTTCATTGAAGAGTTTGAGGAGTATTGGAATTATATCTTCTGTAAATTTCTTGTAGAATTCAGCTGTGCATCCATTGGGACCTGGCCTTTTCTTTGTCAGTAGATTTTTTTTTTTTATTACATTCTGAGTTTCATTGGCTTTTATTGGGTTATTGAGAGTTGTTATATCTTCTTGATTCAGTTTTGGCAATTTGTAACTTTCTAAGAATCTGTCCATTCCTTCTGTGTCTTTGATTCTGTGAGAGTAAATGTATTCAAAATAGCTATTGATGATCTTCTGAATTTCCATTGGGTTTGTGGTAGTTTTACCCTTTTCATGCCTTATTGCTTGAATTTGAGTTTTTTCTTTTCTTTTTTTGATGAAGTTAGCTAGGGGCTCATCAATTTTATTTAATCTTTCAAACAACCAGCTTTTGATTTGTTAATTGTTTGTATTGTTTTCTTCATTTCAAATGCATTAATTTCGGCTCTAATCTTTATACTTTTCTCCCTTCTTTGGGCTTTGTGTGTGGTTTGCTCTTCTTTTTCTAGATGTTTGTGGTGCAGCATGAAGGTATTTATTTGTTCCCATTCTGTTTCCCAATGTGTGAGTTTACAGCATAAATTTCCCTCTAATAACTGCTTTCATT